CTTCTTAGGTCTAAGGTAATTGGATTGATTACTCACTAGTAACTAGACTGCTTTTACTGGGATGGTCAGTTCTACAGTCCTGTGGGTGTAATTTCCAATTCAGAATCATCAGGGAACATCTATGGAAAATTTCTGGCTTACAATGATTTTTTTTCTGCTTAATTTAAATAAGTCCCAAAGGGAATCTAAAAGTTGCTTTGAGTTCCCTAACATGGTGATTGGAAGTAAGGTTCTCCCACTGATAGAAATATCCTTTCACAAAGATTTTTTGGTGTCATATATAATTATCTCAAATACAATAGACATTTAATTGATGTTATTTGAGGAGTTGGGAGGTTTATTAGAGGGAGAGGAAACAGGTTTTTGTATGTTGAGTTGTTATTCATAAATTGCTCAGTGCCCCACTTCTTAACTAATTATAAAGAAGAAAGAACCCATAAGGGACGCCTGAGTGGCTCAGTCAGTTAAGCATCTGCCTTCGGCTCAGGTCATGATCCCAGGGTCCTGGGATCAAGTCCCGCATCATGTCTCCTGCTCAGTGGGGAACCTGCTTCTCCCTCTGCCTCTGCCTGCCACTCCCCCGGCCTGCCACTCCCCCTGCTTGTTGTGCTTGCTCTCTGTCTGTCTCTCTCTGACAAATAAATAAAACCTTAAAAAAAAAAAGAACCCATAAACTAAGTCATTTTAAGGTATCAGTGACTAATATTGTATTAAAATTTTTGTATTACTCTTTCCAAGATTGTTTGCATCTTCAAGCAGAATGTCTAGAGGTAGAAATATTTTAATTTATATAAAGAGTCTCTAGATAGTGGTACAAGTGGGAGTCACATTCGAATGGATGCTACCTTTCAAATCAAATACCATAGTACAATTTCTATTATGCTCATAATGAGTATCCTTCCTAGATATTAAAATGAAACTTCTCATTGGTTTCTGGTTGTGGATAATATAAAGTGAGGACACTCCACCCTATCTCTCTCACAGATCAACTATAAACCCTGAACAGTATGCATGGATCAATTATTTGTGGAATCTTCCAAGTAAATCTATTCATAATAGCCAAAAGGTGGAAAGAGGTAGATAAGCAGATAAAGAAGATATGTTATATTTATACAATGGGATGTTACTCAGCCATAAAAAGAGTGAAATTTGGCATTTGTGACAACATGGATGAACCTTGAGAATATTATGGTAAGTGAAATAAGTCAGAGAAAAACACTTATCCCATGATTTCAGTTATGTGTGTTAATCTAAACAAAGAAACAAAACAAAACTCAGGCTCATGTACAGCATGGGGAATATAGTCAATGACATTGGGTAACTAAACTTGTGATTATCATTTGTAATGTATACAGATGTCAAATCAATATGTTGTATACCTAAAACTAATATAATATTGTATGTCAGTTATATTTCACTAAATATTGTAAAATGGTTTAAGAAATTAAGGCTTGAGGGGCACCCGGATGGCTCAGTCAGTTAAGTGTCCCATTCTTGATCTCAGCTCAGGTCTTGATATTGGAGTTGTGAGTTCAAGCCCCACGTTGGGCTCCACGTTGGGTGTGAAGGCTACTTAAAAAAAAGAAAGAAAGAAAATTAAGGCTTGAATATGTAAGTAAACCAATATCTATGCAAACAAATCATGCAAGTGGAAACATTACTGTAAACAATTGTGACAAGAGAATAAAGCCAGCGATAATCACAGAGATACAGATTCAAAAGAAAAAAAGCCACAAAGAATTTAAGGATTTAAAATTAAAGTTAAAAATTCACTAGAGACAAAATATTTGCTGTGAAAAATAAGGCAGAAATATGCTTATGTTGAGCAAAATTGTCCATCTGTCTCTCTGTTGCATTCAAGAACCAACCAAAGATTTCTCATTTCCTAATTAATATGGAAGACCAAGTGGCATTAATGCAGAGTAGACAGCAGTGCTGATTGCAACTCAGTAACTCATGTCATATGTCATGTTATATGATCCTAGTGTTCACATATTTCTTTTAATTTGCATTGCTTTACTTGATGCTATTAGGTGAAATTCAGCACTTCTAAAATATTCTGGGTTATCCATAATTCTATTAATAAAAGATTATAATTCTGGATAGGAGATTGGTATGTGAAGATAGAACCGACGTTTCTTGGTCATCCACCTCAGTCCATTCCTCCTTATTCTCTTCTCAAGAATTTTCCATTTGGGGGCATCTGGGTGGCTCAGTCGGTTAAGCGTCTGCCTTCGAATCAAGCCCTGATCGCAGGGTCCTGGGATCAAGCTCTGCGTTGGGCTCCTTGCTCAGCAAGGAGTCTGCTTCTCCCTCTCCCTATGCCCCTCCCTCCCTGCTCGTGCTTTCTCTCTCTCACTCTCAAATAAATAAATAAAATCTTAAAAAAAAAATTTCCATTTGGGATCCTGTTTGTTCTGGGGAAGCTGAGTCTATCTCTGGGACCTGGGACCAAGTTGAAACCAGTTACCACATTCCAATCCTCTGGCCACAGAATTGGTGCAGCGAACGGTATATAATTCTGAATTGATCCAATCAAAGTGAACCAAGATGTGTGCTCAGCTTGCTGGGACAAAAATACCCTCTCTTCTGCTGATATGAAGGAATGATTTTGTATCCATGAGACCTGTTAACTACCATCTTGGGATCATGATGGTGAGTGACTCAGGGTGACATCAATGCTGAGTAGAGAGATTGACGAAAATCAGTCATTTGAAGATATCAGGCCTGTCCTAAATCCAGCTCCGTGTTCTGCACTTTTCAGTTACCCAAACCATGTAAGTTCCTTAACTGCTTCCTAAGCCAATAAGAGTTGGTTTTCTATAATAAATAACAGTATCATACCCGCTACAGAAGGAAAACTAAAACTGCTTTTTGTGATAGGTAGAATAGCCAACAAAAGATGACTCTACCCTAATCCCTGGAACCTGTAAATACATTGTTACATGGCAAATGAGGAATTGAGATTGTAAGTGGAACTAAGGTTGTACTCATCTGACCTTTAAACGCAGAAACTATCCTGGATTATCAGGATGGGCTCAAAGTAATCACAAGCATCCTTAAAATTAGAAGAAGGAGGCAAGAAATGAGTTAGTGTCAGAGCGATTCAACTTGAGAAAGATTCAGCCAGCTATTGCTGATTTTGAAGATGGATGTCATTCATGTCCCCATGAATCTTCGAATACTTTCTTACAAGCTGGCACAAAATTTTCTAAGTTTATCTTGTACTTTCCATACCCCAACCCCAGAATCAGCCATTTTCTCAAGGAGTTGGTATTTTGAAATCAAGATCTCAGTGTTAGGTGTGGTTTTTGCTACTAGAATTTCATTGCTTTCAGGTTGTTTTAGCAAATTGACCTAGGAAATAGGAGACTTGAAGTCTTCAATCACAATTCTGGATTTGTCTACTTTAATTTTTCAATCAGTTTTTCCTTCATGTAATTTGAAACTCTATTGTTGGTGCAACAGTTAGGATGGCTATGTTTTCTTGGTAACATGCCTCATTTATTGTTATAAAATGTCCCTCTTTGTCTATGGTAATATTTTGTTCTGAAGTCAACTCCGTCTAGTATTAATATAGTCACTCTAATGTTCTTTTTGCTTTCTGTTTGAAAAACAGCATTACTGAGATATAATTCATATATCATACAGCTCATCCAGTTAAAGTGCTTTTTTCAGTATTTTTAAAGAATTGTGAAACCAATACCATAATCTAATTCAAGAACCCTCTGCTACCCCAAAAGAAACCCCGTATTTATTAAGAGTTAGCCCTGTGCCTACTAAACCCCCTACACTCAGGTTTAAGAAACCACTATTCTACTTTCTGTTTTTATAAATTTGCTTATTCTACACATTTCATATAAGTAGAATCATACAATGTGTTGTCTTTATGACTGGCTTGTTTCACTTAGCATATTTTTTTTCAATCTTCACCCATGCTATAACATGTATCAATTCTCATTTATTTTCATGACTGAATACTATTCCATTGAATAACGTACTTGTTTCCTCTTGCTGATATAACAAGTTACCACAAATTTGGTGGCTTGAAGCAACGTAAATTTATTATCTAACAGTTCTATTGATTAGAAATTCAATACAAGTCTCACTTTGTTAAAATCAAGATGTTGGCAGGGCTGCATTCCTTTCTGGAAGCTGGGGAGAATCCATTTCCTTGTCTTTTCCGTCTTTTAGAGACCTCCCCTGATCCTTGGTTTATGGCCCTCTCTCTCCATTTTCAAAGCCAACAAAAGCAGGTGGAGTTCTCACATGGATTTTCTGTGACTGACTCTTCTCTCCTTCTTCCAATTATCAGGAGCCTTGTGATTACATTGGGTATCTTGATCTTTCAGGGTAACCTCCCCATCTCAAAGCCCATAAATTATTCACGTTTGGAAAGTCCCTTCTGCCATGTAAGATTACATATTCAAAAGTTCCAGGTATTAGGACCTGGTTATATTTAAGGGTCTTTCTTCTGCCTACCCCATTTGGATATGCCACATTGATTTATCCATTTATCAACTGATGAACATTTGGGCTATTTCCACTTTTTGATTATTATGAATAATGCACTTGTGCATTTCATGTGCATATCTTTCCACTTCTGTTCGGCATATACTTAGGACTGAAATTGCTGGGTCATCTAGTGATTCTGTATTTAACTTTATGAGAAGTTGCTAAACCGTTTTTGCAAAGAAGCTGCATCATTTTACATTCCAGCAATCTATGAAGGTTCCAGTTTCTCCACATCATCACCAACAGTTGTTATTTCCTGCGTTATTTGTTGCAGCCATCCTCACATTTTCCTTTCTAATTAGTGTTTGGGTGGTAAATTTATTTCCATTGTTTCATCTTCAACCCAGGTATTGTGGTTGAAGTGGTTTGAAAGTGGTTTTCGTGTGAACAGCATTAAATGCATCTTACATCATCTTATGTTTGTACATCTACCATAGCCCTTTTAATGTTAATTTCTATAAAAAATTTTTGAGAGCCAAGTTTTTGAAAATATGCAACCCTTCACAAATTTGCCTGTCATCCCTGCTCAGGGACCCTACTACACTTCTAGCATTCCCATTTTAGTGTATATGGTGCTAAAATGAGCATTCTTATAATAATGTTCTTACTTGCTTATAGCCTTACTAAATTATAGGCCTTGTGAGAGCGGAGATAATGTCTAATCTATTTATGTTGTCTTTCCTAGCTTTGTGCCTTAAGTATTTGTTGAATGAATACATGAAACTTTATAGATTTTCACTGTACACATATTATCCAGAGGGCTTATCCCATGGTTGTCAATTGGCTCTCAATTATTTTGTATTGGAGGGACAGCTGAGAGTATTGGTAATACACTTGAAAGGGGACTGGACTGAACCCACTTTTTCCCCAAATGGTGCTTAATTAACCTTTCGATTCCATCAGTTTCCAACTGTTTATTAATTCAACAATGATTCTTTCTCCCGAGTCAAAGTTCCTTTTAGTCTAATATTTATGTGATCTTTTTCTGGACTGGCTTGACATCAGGCTCATTTAATATTGTATTATTCTACTCTACATGATGCATTTTGACCAACTAAACATTCCATCTAACAGATTTGTCAGTAAAAAGATAGATCTTCGGTTGCAGTAGAAATAAATTTGGCACATGATTGACACTGTTCACACACAAAGGAAGAGGTATCAAGCGAACTGGTGTGTCATGGCATTATAATGCAAAACAGCAAAGTATTTATTAAAAGAATACATTAAAAAATTTTAGATAGGGCAATATCTGGAGTTCTAAAGAACATTTCGTAGATGTTAAATCTATATCTTTGTTGCTTTGGTGTTTTAGAATTTGCTCAAGGATTCATTAAAAGTAATTTATAGTTAGAGGATCTGTTTTCGTATTACCATGGAAGGAAATATAATTTAGTTTTAAAAATTAAAATTATGGACAAAGCATAGACTCTTAATCCTGACTCATTAGAAAAGACTTAAATGCAAACAGCCAATGGCTTTTAATTATAGGAGAATAGATATTGCAAGCTTTACTATCATCTAAATATAAAATCTGTCTTTAATACCCTAGATTAAGTGGAATAGATGATTTAAAAAAAAAGTAGGTATGGACTGTTTTTTACATACGAGAAATTACTTTGAATTGTTTTCTAGTTCTTTCCTGTTTCTCTCACTTTTCACCCGGCTCAAGTTAAAATTCCTTGAGGGTAGGAATCCTGTCTTTTGGTTGTTTGGTTCTTCCACAGCAGTAAAAATATAACATGCATACATAGTAAGTGCTGATAAATGTTATTTGAAAGCATGCTGCCTCTCTGACAACTTCTGTTCTGTCCTTGCCCAGACACCTTTTCCAACACTCTTCTTCCTGTATGGCTCCATTTCTTGTTCAGTCTCTGCTCAGATGTCACCTTGTCACTGAGGCCTTTCCTCACCACGTTGCATGAAATCTCAGTTGCTTTCTCCCTCATCCATTGCCCTGCATGACTTTTCTCCACTTAAGAAATAAAACTCTGATTTTTCTGTGGGCAGAATAAGAAAGTATGCAAGAAATTCTGACATGTTTTTAAACATAAGCTTAATTTGTCTTATGACAGTAATATAAGCTTTTGTGAAAAACTAGAAGCTGTAGATATAAAAGAAAAATTACATTTTTATCCTGCAGTGACATCAACATGCTTAACATTTAAATTTAATGCTTCCCAGGGTTTTCCTTGTAAATATTAACTTCTTTATTTTCTACTTTCATTTCTGAAGTTTAGAACACAAAATATATAACATTAAATTTTGAATTTAAATGACAATAGAATATAATATACCATTAATTTTAACTATTTGAAGATTGAAAAAATTAAAAAGGTATGCAATGTGTCAAGACAATTCAAAATGATATATTGATTGTTATCAATATACCTTTCTGTAAAAAAGTAAAAATAGCATCAAATTTTCCTAAAGTGCATTAAGAGAATTAAAGATTTTAATACTTATTTAATTGATATTGATGCTTAGATGGATATTTTAAAATTTTATTTCAGTTGACTAAATAATGATAAAAAATCTTATACAAAATGAAGTTTTGCCATATTTTGCTTCTGTTTGGATTCTATAATTCATAACATATGGATTATATAGATTATATAATCTATAATGTATGGATTACATAATTTCAATTTTAAAAATCCATAGAGTAAAATTAACCTGTACAATCAGACATCCTTAAGTCAACAGATACAGAGGCCAAAAGATTCTGTGGCATGTTTAATTACCAAAACTGACATAGTAACATTCTGATTAAAATATTATTTCTATCTTAACATTGCTTTTAGAAGATTCAGTTTAGGCCAACAAGAAAGTGGGAATGAGAGAATGGTTATAATGATATTTTGGCTATATGGTGCCAGTGAGAACTTTGAGATTTCCTTAACTGAACTCCTTTTCTTGTCTAATACAAGCCTGAGTATCTTATATTGATGCCAACACCTACTGCAGAATTGTTATGGAGACTAGAACTACATACCAGTCAGGAATTAAGCACAATGCACATAGTAGACAACTCAGCACACAGGGACTTATTATCTGATGCATTCATTTGCAAGTTAAGTTTTACTGTTTGCTCATACACTACTCTAAATTTGACTTTGCCTGTCTTCCTTCCTTCCTTCTTTCCTTTCTTCCTTCCTTCCTTCCTTCCTAAAACTTTTTCACCAACACAAGGTCTCAGCAATTACTTATCCTTTAACGGAAAGTGGAATACTGGCTATAATGTCTAGCTCTTCTAACTGGATATATGACAGATTGTTCTTCATCTATTTTCCTCCTGTGAAACAGAGGTAATATTATCTGCTTACCTATAGCAATATAGGTAGATGGTAAAGATAGAAGATAATACTTGCAAATAGCTTTCAAAAGTATAAAATATTTAAAACTGTTTTTTCGTTTTATATATTTTATCAGAGGTTACAAATTGGTGGCCCTAACTGGAACCCTAAGACTCTTTATTTGACATGCATATGCAGTTTCCTTTAGAAAGAGTCTGTGTTCTCCAGTTTACCATATTCTTTACAATTCCTGTGCTGTTAGGCCATTTTATTAATTTTTCTTATTTGCATTTCCGTTTGAGTTATTACCAAGGTGAAAAATGAAAACTGATTTTGTGGAAACATCAAGTCATTACTTTGTGAAAACAAGTTTAGGTTAGCACCTCCTCAAGGTTCTTTTAGCACTATCCACCAGTGTCATATTGTTACTTTCAAGCAGAACTCAGGAGGTTTGTGAATTTGATTAGTAAAATATACAGAATTACCTCTTTCTTTCCAGCATGTTCTTTAATTATGAATGTAGGTAACAAGCCACAGTAGTATTAGTAGTACCTACACACCATCACTAATAGAAGTGTTTTTGCATCGTAATACATGTTTTGCAGCTATCTTGAAATACTGCTCATCTTTACTTTGAAATCAGAGTTGTTGTGAAGCCCACCGCTAGATCGTGTTTTCTAATGTCTTATTCAAGAGCATACATTGCTATGCTATATCACACATATATCCTAAGACTATTTTGATAATTGTATTTCAGAATAATTTGTTTCCTTTGTATCTCTTGTTATCCAGTGTGTTTTAGTTCATGCACTTAACAACATTCTTCTGAGAAGTACCTTGGCAAGAGAGAAACAAAATAAGAAAGAAAACAAAACAAAACAAAAACTGAGGCTCTAAAACCCTGTTTCTTTATGTAAAGAAAGTTCTTATTAGTACAAAACAACATATGTATCAATTTGGTACTGTCATATAATCTTTTATTTTCAGTGAAAGAAAACATATTGAAAATTATTATTACCCAATTGCAAAATTATTCCTTTAGTAAATGTTTCTTTACTTAACAGCACCTTTCTCACAAACACATTTGTATGCACATTTTATCTTCTAACACACTTAGCTAAAAGAAGCACAAAATGCTTTAAAATTATGTATTAAGAATTTATCACACCCACCACTATATTTGCACAGACTTGAAAACAGCAAAATAGCACCGTGTAAATCACTTACAATGTGGGTTTTGAAAATCTGGACAGAATATTCAACTGCAAAATTTTAAATAGTAGGCCTGGACTTTGATGAGTCTGTGACTTCAAAAATACACAGTTGTTCTCTGCTGCAACTGCCCAGTTTATGTTTTCTACATGTTGGAGTACCAAGCAGCATTTTAACCTTCATATCAGCTGCATGCTTGTGCAAAGAAGCAGTCACTCCAGACGTACCAGCTGCTTCTCTGTGTCATTGGAACTATCAGTGTGATGATATTCTGCTCTGTGACTTTCGTCTGATCAGAGTGTGAGCAAGGATTATGCCTCTGCTGAACAAATGTCCTTTTTTCTCACATGCTTCTCTGAGAACTGATTATCAGAACTCTTTCAAGAGAGCAGTAGGACATTAAAAAATAATCAAGCCATTAAAAGACGGTTGAGGGGCACCTGGGTGGCTCAGTCGGTTAAGCGTCTGCCTTCGGCTCAGGTCATGATCCCAGGGCCCTGGGATCGAGCCCCACATCAGGCTCCCTGCTCAGTGGGAAGTCTGCTTTTCCCTCTCCCTCTGCCTGCCTGCTATGCCTACTTGTGCTCTCTCTGTCAAATAAATAAATAAAATCTTTTAAAAAAAAGACAGTTGAAATACTAAAGGATTTTATTTAAACTATTGTAATATTACCCTCCTCCTCCCCCACAAGGGGAAAAAAAGGAAAATAAATCAATATGGAGAAAGTATGCAGATATTATAATTATATATCCCCAGCCTGAGTTTCTCCTTTTAACAACAGATCCTATATAGTATCTAAGAGAATAGTAATATTTTATACATTAGTAATATTTTACATATTAACAATAATGTCTACCATTCGTATTAGATTAGAAACTCCAAAACGTGGTGATCTTTCTTTTAGCCCATCATTCCAATGCAACATTGGAATGCTTCATTGGTGAATGGATCTAGAGAGTATCATAGGGCCACGAGGAATTGAGACAGGAAAGGAAAGGAAGCCAATAAATAGGCTACACAGTGGCTCAGTACCCTTGGAAAATTCTAGAAGACAGTGTGGGAAACATGTCAGAAGCTGGG